ACCCGGATGAACATCTGCACACTTATCAAGCCATCATGAGAATCCAAAACGCCAATGACGCCATGATGTGCAAAGTGTTCCCAGCGACACTTAAGACAACAGCCAGGAGATGGTACTCCCAGCTCGCCAAGCTATTCTCCAACAAGTTTGCGAGCCAAAGGGAGATTAAACGTACAGCGACTGAACTAATGCAGGTTCATCAAAAAGAAGGAGAGTCTTTGAGGGACTACATGCAACGATTCAACAAAGCTACTTTAGACATTGATAACGTCCCTGATACCATTTGTTTATCTGCCTTGTTGCATGGCCTGAAGCCTGGCCGGTTTTTGGATGACCTGTTGGAGAATCCACCCAAGTCGTGGAATGAAGTAAATGACAGGTCGGCAAGCTTCATACTGTCCGAAGATTTTCAATCTTCTAAGTGAAGGGCTGATGACAGGCAAGGAAAAGAGCCCAAGCAGCCTGAAAACAGAGATGACAAGAAGAAACAGAAGGTTGGCGAGCAGAGAGGGAAACCACCTTCTTACCCAAAATATGACAGCTACATTCCCCTGAGCTCGTCACGATCCCAGATATTGTCGCAGATACAGTATTGGGTCAAGAGGCCCCCTCCACAAACGCATGATTCTTCACGAGCTGACAGAAGTAAATACTACGACTATCACCGTGTATACGGCCATAACACAGAAGACTGTCAGAGTCTGAAGGACGAGCTCGAATTCTTGGCTCGCAATGGAAAGTTGGAGGGGTATGTGCAGAAGCCTTTTGTTCGGCAACCCACTCAGACCCATTTTGTACAAGAGTACGGCCGACCTCAAGCACCTGGGTATCAGCTCGGCAGCAATCCGAATTCCTACCAGACAGGTCTGTACTCGTTTGAACCAAACAGGGCGTATAGAGGACGCTCGTTCAATAGGCGTGGGCCAGGACAGAAAGCACCTACGCAGAACCAAAAAGACCACAGAGGAGTCGGGTACGGTGGAATACCCCCACCATCTGGCACAATCAATATGATCTCTGGTGGTATACATGCAGGAGGTCAAAGCGCCCGTGCCCGCAAGGCGTACGCTGGCCAGGTGATGACAGTAAATAAGAACCGGCCTCTTAAGCGTCCATTTGAGGAGGCAGAATGGGAGAATGCGGCCATAACGTTTAGCCCGGCAGATTACCAGCGAGCTGGAGAGTCTGACGTCGTGATGCCTCATGCGGATCCTTTTGTAGCGACAGTCCATATAGGCAACCATAACGTCAATAAGGTCTTCATTGACACTGGGAGCTCGCTTGATCTCCTGTATTGGAGCTGCTTCCAAAAGATGCAGCTGAACCCCAGCTCGTTACAAAAATATGAAGGGCCTATTTATGGATTCGACAATCAACCTATCCCAGTGGAGGGAGTAATTACACTTCCCATTTACGTGGGCTCGGAACCACGCTTCAGGATGGCTTCAGTCAGCTTCCTGGTCGTCAAAATGGAATCAGCCTTCAACGCCATACTAGGAAGGGCTACTCTGTGCGAACTGAAGGCTGTCATCTCACAACCCCATCTCTGCATGAAATTCCCAACGCCTCAGGGGGTGGGAGTGCTGAAGGGCAATCAGAAGATGGCTAGGGCATGTTATTAGGATACGTTTAAGAAGGTTGAGCTCACTATTGCCCCAGGAGGATCTGAAAGTAGTAGGCCGACTCAGCCCGGCCAGCAGACAATGAGCATATCAGACATTGAACATAGACCTGAGGGTGTCGAGCAGAAAGCAGAACCGGTGGAGCCAGTGGAAACCGTTCCTTTAAACCCTGATGTGCCGGAAAGAACAGTAAAGATAGGCACCAAACTCACAGAAGAAGAACGAGCTGAGCTTCTAGAGTTTTTGAGGGTCAATCAAGATGTGTTCGCGTGGACTACTGATGAAATGCCCGGCATCCCGACGGAGTTGACAGTCCACAAACTCAGCACAGATCCCACCAGAAGGCCGGTGGTGCAGAAACGTCGCCTTTTTGGCCCAGAGAAACAAGCCGCCATAGACGAGGAGATACAAAAGCTGTTACAGGCTGGCTTCATTAGAAGAGTGGAGTACTCT